ATTAAATAATACGTGAGTTAAATAATTTGCTCTCATGTGGTACACATAACTTTCAATCTCTACCAGTGAGAAAATGCAAAAGCGAGCGTTCATCTTTTTTATATTGGCTGCATCCTTCCTTCCTTTACAGCCACAACAGTCCACTGCTGGACATGGGCCTCCCCTGTATTGGCTGCATAGTTTCAATAAACCACTTTGCCTCATTGAGTGAGGAATAGTGACTTTTTACACTGATTTTACGCGGGACACCTGTTTTTTTCAAACTGGAGAGGTGAAAAGTTTTTTCAATACCTTTACAATATTTTTTTTCATCTTTCAGGTATTAACTCTTTGTCATCATTGCTGCAGTTCCATGAGACATAAAAGAGACAATTCCGACCATTTCAATGTAATGTTGAGTTTATTCAAAGTGAAACCTTTAGGAAGATCCAGAGTATATAAAACTTTTTCAAACACAATGTTACTACCTCCAAGTGATCCCATACGTTTGAGTGATATTAAATTCAATGATAAAGAGTTTAATGAATATATTAAAAATGAACAAAAGCAACGTAATGATAGTAAAGATAAAGACTATCCAGTTATCAAAAAAGAACTTGAGGAAGAACCTATTAAAGAAAACAATATTGATTACGACACAGAACCTCGTTTCGAAGCAGTTGATAAACTAGAAGTTTTCGAAGATCTAAGTCCTAGAAAGGCAAAATTCAATACCATAGATGATCTAAATATACCAGAATTTTCCTTCCGTACCCTGAATGCCCCGAGTCTGAAAAAGAAAAAACTAAAACAGAAACACTTATCTGATGCAGAAGTTTTCATTCCAGAATTTTACTCGAGAGATAGAACAAAAAGGTTGTTACGTAGCACAGAGCACATTTTTTATGCAGATAATGATGAAATTGACGACGAACAAATAAAATCGTCAAAAAAGCCTTTGATTATTTGACTGCTCTTATTCTTAGGGGCCGGCGCAACAATTTTTGTACTCGAAAAAGGTGAACTAAAGATTTCAATTGCTCTTGTTTTAAGGTACTTCCGGGTGATATGGCCTACAGCTCCGGACAAGCATAGAAAATCGAAAAAATACATTCATCCATAAAAAATACCAATACGACAGCAAAAACCCAGCAGCGGGCTACACGCGAGTGTCACTCTGTCAGTGATACCCCGATTGTTTAAAATGAAATGTGGGTGCAAAAAGACCGTGCTACTCTAAATTCACGGACAAAAATTATTTTTCCATAGAACAATGAAGCGCAAAATCCATTAAAAGGGGCTCATAATCCAACCATATTGTTTGTTATAATTCCACGTCGCTTTTGTTCGAGTGTCACTATCTTTCACATTTGTCCGGAGTGCCACAATGGGACAAAGGGAAGTTTTTCCTGGCCGAAAATAAAATTGAAAATGGAACCTAAATGTAGGCAGACCAAAAATTTAAGGTAGATGGAGTGTAAGCGAAGTGAAATTGAATACCAAATTTTAAAACAGGTGACGTGTTAGGTATACAATTTTTGATTTCGCTGGTTCAAATCCTGCCTGCAGTGAAATTTTTTCTAAAAAAATAAAATTAACACTAAAGTTTGTACCAAAAACATCAATACGTAGTTAGTTAGTAATAATACGATCAATACAAAGCGAGATTTTGCTAAATTATGTTACAATTTGATCTAAAAACATTTAAGTCGCTGATAAAATAAAATTCTGAAATAAATATGTGAATGTGAATCAGAAAATGTGGAGTGTAGGTATATAGTATTTATCAAAATTTGGCATGTTTTGCTTTGCTGATGGGAAAGAAGATCAAACACTCGCGTACCGTACCTACAGATTCTATGCATTTCAGAACGTATACATTTTATCTAACTTAGGCAATAGGCATTCAGTGGATTTAAGCTTAGTGTTTTTTGGTGTTTTTGGTACACACTACTTTCTCTACTTTATTTTTGATCTGTGGGAACCTAAATGGCTGTGCTTTTTTGCTGAATGTCGTCGGCGTTTTTAATAGCGACACCTTCACAAAGGAGGGTGTTTTGGTGCTCAGCTATTTGGGAGCAAACGACGTTTAAAAACCTCCATTCGTGGGACTATTATTGCACCATGAAAATGCTAATAGTGAATTTGATACAATATTTTGTTTGTTTTTATTAGACTGATTACATTACGGATTTAAGTCTAAAAACACTCACAGGGGAACATTATACCCAAGCTCCTAGAAACACAAAATACACTAGACAATGTGTAAGACAAAAAAATGTGGATTCCTATTCGAGTTGATGATGACAGTGTTCATTCATGTCTTGGTACAGTCCGTGTAAAAATCTCTAAAATGTAAAGAAAAAATTAAAGTTGCATTGTAAATTTTTTTTATACGTTCTTTAGCAACAATCAGGAAAAACCTGTACGTTGCATGATTAAGCTTTCATTTGTCATAAAGGGCACTGAGTCGAAACGTGACTCTATGAACTTAAATATTCGAGTCTTAAGTCACCTATTACTATGATGTAGTAAACGCTTCATAGATAGGTACTGCTGTAGCATGTTATTGTAAAATACACAGCTCCTGTACATTTTTAGATAACGTGCAAAATTTTTCGTTGCATCTGTACTGCCGACGCCAATACCAACTGGGCTATTGCGGTTCTGTCTTAGCCTGCGGTAGAAAATATTATAAGCCTTCCAATAATTTTATACATACCACGACAAGTGTTTTATAAATTTCGTATTCTGCTCTTGTAAATTCAATTCGTCATGGTGAGATGTGGTTCATACACCGGCTGTACCTATTTACCTTTCCTTCCATTAGAAGGTACAGGCTTCCCATTCATCCGTTTATTTTACTCCACTCCGAAATTTATTTACGTTCCTAAACGTTCCCATTAGAGAGAACGTCTAACCAAATATTACCATTTGTACTTCCTAAATCCATTTCGGCAGTAATGACTTACGTCCCATTAGTTCAGAATTCAAGTCTGTTGTACTTGTACTAGTACAATTATAATTATGGAAACTAAATTCTGATTTAATTTCGGCTATTATAATACAGTTAGTTATAATGAGTTCGTTCGTACCCAATTTCTAAATGTGCGAGCGAATTAAGTCATGTACATTCTACCTTCTAATAGCATTTTGGCAAACCTAAATGTTCATGATGAGCTCAAAATATCTGGTTAGATAAGTTTTGAAAAATAAAGTAAACTTATGCAGAGTGGTACCGAACGACCCACTTTCCTGAAAACACTCGGCTCAACAGGTCAAACTGAACAACCTTTTCCTAAGAAACAAAGAACAAAGCAATATTTTTTTTTTTTACCTCCCATAGCAAATTGCTTGTACAGCAGATGTTTGTTTGTGAGAAAAAAAAGTTATATACCTACTTTCGTCAAGCAAACAATGCAGATGCTACGAAATAAAGAAATTATTCCTGCTCTGAATTCTGTTGGCTTATGTGTGCACCGTAGAGAGACTTCTCGCGCGCGAAAGAAGACTTCAGACCAAAGCTGCTTCAGACCTTCTTCAAACTTTACTTCAGACGTGTCAAATCATAGGGACTTTTAAAAAAAAATTTAAGAATGTTGGCTGTCAGGTACGTAGAGAAAATTGAAGTCGCATCGAAGGCCCAGATCACTTATATATATGTCCCTAAAGGGAATCGAAGGGCACACCATCATAGGCCAGGCCTACTGCATTTTAATTTCAGGTTTGAGTAATCTTGATTAATTTTCTGTTATTCCTTGTCTAGAGTTTTCTGTAGAAGTTCCCGTACGTATTCTGTTGAAACTGGTACGGAATTGGACCGGCAAAAGGTAAAAGAGCCGAACTGAACGTGCAGCATACTATATGAATCCAATAAACAGCAGGAGAACCTCTGTAAATGAGAATTTAGAGTAAAACGGAGCATAATTGGGTCTTCCAGAACAATAAGCGCTGATTCTACTACCGTGGTTGAATATTTGACGCACTAATTAGAGTCGTTCACTCATAAGACCTACTGCTTATTAGACCCAGACAAACAAATTTAAACGTTAATGGCTCCAAATAAAAAAATGTGTTAAATGCATGGTTAAAATAATAAAATTTCATACAAAAACGCTAGTCACGCGTTTAACGCTCGTCTAACTATATTGTGGTAAAGCTCTAAACTTATTACCCAACTGCCTTAGAGGGAGGGTTATGTTTTTTGAGAGTATGGAGTGATAAGACTATGTATGTGACCTAGAAATTATTTTTCACGGTCTACAGCCCAAGCGGCTAGGCGGATCCTGACATATGAGACGTTGTTAGATTTATCTTAGCAGCGCAAGAGACTCTGCCTATATTTCAATTTCGCAAATAAGAAAAATGATATACCGGGAGTAACAGAAAGCGTATAACAAGCCAAAAGGAGGTCAAGGTACTCATGAAACTGAACAACTTTCACCATGGAACATGGGTCGAATTGTCCAAGGGGTCGAAACATGAAAAAAGAAATTTGGACCTCCTATAGTAAATCTATCAGCTGATCGGAGATTTTGTATGGGAGGTCAACATTTTTTTTTCATATTTCGACCCATGTTCCATGGGGAAAGTTGTTCAGTTTCATGAGTATCTTGACCTCCTTTCGGCGTGTTATACCCCTTTCTGTTACTCCCGGTATATAAAACGCAAAACATAGCTTTGAAATTACCGCAGCCGGGTTTTGTTTTTCTCTACAAAAACAAGTTTTTTTGTATGAAGATATTTATTAAACATGCCTTCAAGACGTGTCTAACTTATTGTGGTATGACCCACTGGGTCTAATTCGTAAATGACTCACTACCTAATTAGTACGATGTGAGCAGATGCGAGACAAAAGGTATGATTCTGTTTGAGAATTTATGAATTACTTTGAAATGAATAGAGAAATTATTATAATTTTGCAACGTTGGGAACAAAACCTAATTATATAGGAAAAGTTGCAATTCATTTTTGACGAATTAAGTTTTGTATTATTGAATTTACCTATTTTCGAGACAGCTGATGTAGCGCAGTGATAGTGCGACTGCCTGTGATGCAGATGTTTCCGGGTTCGAGTCCCGGTGGGTCACTTCACAGAGTTGATACATTTATCACTTTGTGTATTTATTCCCAGTCTGGTTAGGACATTGTAGGCTGAACCACCTGTTTGACCCAAAGCAGCGCACGATAACGCGCGTAATCCATATGTTTTTGTAAAATCTCTTGTGTTTTAGCACGTCAAACAGAGATGAGTCTTCACGACTTCACAAAACTGGTCCGTATAGGATACTTCTTATCTGGGGAATCTCGATCTTAGTTTATTTTTAGTTTTACTATAAGTTTTCCCATTTGGAATTTGGCGTTTTTATCCAACCCGCTAAACTGCTAGCAACATCTCTATAAAAAGGTTGAAAAAAACTGTCGTAAACGTCTCTAACAATTACTAGGGGTCGTCCGTTTCTGCATCATTAACTGCTCGCAAGTCGCAAGACGTCGGGACGAGGAATACCTACCTACTACGTTTATTTGTCAAAACTAAACCCGGAGCAGCTGCACTTTTGTTGAACTAACGTGAGACCACTACTACGGTAGTAGTGGTAGTAGTTCCGGGGATTCCCGGTAGCTAGGTCACTTCACAAAGTTGATATATATTTTTCACTTTGTGTATTTGTTTCCAGTCTGATTAGGACATTGCGGGCTGAACCACTTAATTGTACGAAAGCAAGATGGTGCCGTGCTTCGGAAGACACGGCAACGCACGTCATTTGTAAAATCTCTTGTGTTTTAGCACGTCAATCATGACTGAGATGAGTTTTCACGACTTCACAAAACTGGTCCGTATAGGGTACCATATTGATCTTAGTTGTTTTTCTTTTTAGTTTTACGATAATTTCTCCCATTTAGACAGTAGCTTATAAATTTCGCGTTGTTTATCCAACCCGCTAAACTGCTAGCTACATCCCTATAAAAAAGGTTAAAAAAACTGTCGTAAACGTCTCTTACAATTACTAGGGGTCGTCCGTTTCTGCGTCATAAACTGCTTGCAAGTCGCAAGACGTCGGGACGAGGAATACTACGTTTATTTGTCAAAACAAAACCCAGAGCAGCTGCACTTTTGTTGAACTAACGTGAGTCCACTACTACCGTTCCTCACTCACCTGCTCCTCGATACAAAATATTTAGAAAACGAAAAATGAGGTAAAACTATATCCTGCCTACTTGGACACACAGTAAGGACCAAAGTGTTGTGAATTCACATACCTAACCCTTTGGTAAATTAACACCGGACAGGCAGAATACCTCAAGTTTGGGTGGCATATGTAAAGAATATCTTATAGTTATGACAAGACTGTCCTTTTGTTGAAATGCGGGATCAATAATGTAAAATTGCATTTCAACTTTCGTTACCTATCCAAATCATCCTATTCATTTCGAGATTACCACACTATTTGAATTTAACAGCGGTAAAACGATGGCTCGAACAAAATAATTGTATTATTATTTTATTACTATACCATTGAAATGATCTTTCAAGCTACTTACTGTCGTTGACAGTATTCCTACTCTTTTTAGGCTTTGTGTAATAATAATTTAATTACTGTTTTAGCATATGAACGACGTCCTTTTTCAGTGTCCCAATGATCAAATAGATGTAAATCTTTTAATAAAAAAAAATGTTATTGTCAGTGCAGACTTTAATAAATATTAAACTATCGACTGTGTTGTGCGCTTACGCTTCTTACGCTTATGCTTTATGTGGTCACTGAATTCAGTTTTTTCATTTTTATTCTATTTTACCTAGTAACAGATGGTAGGGTCAATCCAAAGGTGGCTTTCAGGCGTATCGAAAATAAAAGTCATAGTCTTGTTCACTCGAAACATTCCCATTTTGTTCACTTTTTACAGCAACGTCTCGCCTTTTGTCTTTGTCTAATAAGAAATAGTCGCAAACTTTACTCGAGAGTCGCACTACAAGGCTTTTGTTAAAAAATCATGTCTAAGATTAATGTTTTTCTTTGTTACATGAATATTTTTATTTTATTTGTAAGTGCTTTATGAAGCTTTTTACTAGGAGAAGAGAAAAAGGTAAGCGAGAAAGTTTTAAGAATTTAAATAAATAACAATGTTTTAACAAAGAGATTTAGTCCACAGTGCTAATATCAGATGACATCGTTGACACAAAGTAAGTATTGGCTAGCGCAATCCAGAGAGTCGGCTTCGAGCAAACGCGGCTATACTCACTCAGACATCCACACGCATCGTTTACGCGCCCTGTGGAACCGTGTCGAACCGGCTAATAATGGTTGAGTGCGAAATAGTGTGAATGGCGCGTTCGGTACAGGCGGACGGAATGGCGAGTAAAGAAAAATATTTTTGTGATGTGTTTGGGTGTAATAACACCACAGCAAATTGTGCATTGTAATTTTTCAGTTTCCCACGCAATAGTGAAAAGTAAGTAGAACTCTTTTATTTGATAAATAAATAGATACCTACTTCAAAACACTAGAAATGGAGGGATTTCTTTCTAAAAATCTTATTTTTCGTTCGTAATATGTGCTTTAGCGTTTTAGGTACGTACGAAGAAGTAGGTAGGTTGCGCTTTAGCAGGCCTGGCGCACTCCGCTGCGTAGGTATAGATTTACAAGTACGTGCGGCGACACCCGCGGAGAGGTTAGTCAGTGGGTTGCCGCACGCCGCTCGTTACGCACGCGCTCCCACGTTGCCGCTCTTAATTCTTTCTTTGTACTAAATTTACGTAAATTACCTACGCGAAAATGAGAATAAGAAAATACTGCATTGCTTATAATTGCTTGAATAATTCTAGTGATAAAAGCCTCAAGTTCCACAAGTTACCGCGTGACATCGAAAGGTAAAAAAATAGTACCTACATAGATTCTAGCTATGTAATAAAATTATTATTTATTACCTACTACTACAACGACCTAATGAACCCTGATGTCAGAGTTTTTGAACCTATCTGCCTTCCTCCTTTAAAATTCGAAAGTGACATCCCCACTGAGCGCGCTGACTGTGACCTTCAGGACGCGCCAGCGGCAGAAGAACTTTCGCGCGCAGCCATTCGGCTCATTTTTGCTTGCGCGCGCGATGAGTAGGCTAATATAAAAGTAGGTATCCAAAGCCGGCGCGAAGGAAATTGTACTTTATTATCGCGCGTAAAGATTTATATTTGTTGAATCGCTATGGCGGAGTGCGTCTTCTGTACCTGTACTATTATGTATTCTGTGGCTTTAGTTTGATTTGGTAGGTTAAATGGGTTTAGGTAGATACCTAACCACAGTAAATAGATACCTACATATTATTCAGCATTTGAGGTGAAGCGATGAGTACTGATATACTGATAGCAAAAGGTCCAGGTTATGTCATCTTCATTTCCGATCATCAGGTAGGTACCTACCTATGGTAGTCCAAATGGACTATTACGATCCTGAATATTTTTTATTTTTTTTGTCACGGCAGCTGGTGACCTTCGAAACTATAGTAGGTAAGTAGGTATACTTCGAAACTAAGGTAGGTACCTACCTACCTACCAACTTACAGCTACAAATACAACTCACATGCCCGATTTTTTTCGGGTGGCGTCCCCGCGTTTATCATGTCGTCATGTTCATGTCATGATAGGTACTTACCAACTTACCTACCTACCGTTCCCAGCGCGTATTGCCCGCCCGCCAATACATTGGTAGTTAGGTAATCTGCGATTACTAGTGACGGTACGTTTGACTTTAATGATGGCTTGACTCCCTGTTCAAAAATATCTAGATAATATCTTCCAACCATAGGGACCTAACCTATTAAAGTTCGTGACGGCAAGATAGGTATTTTTAGGCTGATACTGGTTTTCCGAGAGTCTTATTACTGACTTAACTGTAAGCTGATAAATTTTTCGTCATTTCACGTCCACGAATCAACGTTCACGCTTTATCCACTTAAATTTTTCCGCTTCATAGATTAGGCAAGTCCATTTTTCCTACATGTTTTACTGTAGTAACACTGTCCTAGAAATATAAATGAATTCCAGCAATCCACATTGGTTGCACGTAAATCAACTGCCAGTGTACTCAAACAGATAGAAAGCTGTGGACAAAAGCCTCCGAGGAGGATAAACAAAGACTATCCACATTTACAATTCAAGGGGGTTGAAACTTCCCTAATTGATTGTTTCGGGGTCCTCTAAGCCTCTTTTTAGGGAAAAAGAAGAAACGAACTTTTTCAATCACGCCCGAGTGTTAGGGCTTGTGCAAATTGGAAGACGAATTTGTCTTTGCTTGTTAAAGCTTCTTAGGATTAAGGTATTACGTGTACAGTACGTAGAAGGTGCCCAGTCGTAGCCCATTGTACAAGCTATACAAATTATAAATAAGCATCCTGAGGTTTCTCTGATTACACAGGACCGAAGATTGATTACATCGGTAGAACCCAAAAAAGTGGTTGTTACGCTAGGTAAGTCTCAAAGCTTCACATAAGACGGCCTTCGGGACGGAAGACCATACCTTGTTACCTCCCCTTAATTACTTACTACTATTTCGGCCACACCAGTCCACTGCTGGACGTAGGCCACCCCTTTAAGTCATGAAACATACATACCTTGCGTTGCTATACATGTTCTGAGATTACTCTGATTACACAGGAACAAAGATTGATTAGATCGGGAGAATCCAAAATGGTGGTTGCCCAAAGTACGTGTCAAAGCTTCACATAATACGGTCTCTAGGGCCGACAAGACAACAAGCCTCAAGTCCGTTAATCGTCATACTTTGATATAATGACAACTTAACATCTATCATCAACTGCCAAAACAACAGTCCTCTGCTGGACAGTGCACTGCTGGACACAGGCCTCCCCTACCGTACACCATAAGGCTTATCTTACCCTATTTAATCAACTTCTTGCTGCAAACATTGTACCTAGTCTGTGGACTATTAAACCTGATGGTCTGTATCTGGTCGTAAATTCTAAACGTAGTTACACTAATAGTTACAGAGCTTAAATGGACCGTAGTTACTGTAACGTTATCTTCGTGAAATATTGCCAGTGGACCGATCTTTTAGCTACCATTTAAGTAAGCAA